GAGCTTTACCAGCTCTGAGCTGGCACTGAGAGTCCCCAGCCTGCCCAAAAACCTGGAAATTGTCCCTGTGTGGCACCAGAATTCCCTTCCCTCCCTCCCTCCCAGGGCTGGGAATTCCCGGCTGGAGCAGCCCCTGGCACCAGGGATCACCCCAAGGGATCCAGGGAGGGATCCTGGACCCAGGGGTGCTGCAGATCCCAGCAGATGCCAGAATTCCTGCACACAATTCCTGCCTGTCCCTCCCTCCTCCCAGCACATCCATCCCTGAGCTGAAGATGCTGAGTCACAATCCCAGCCCAGCATCCCAAATTCCCGGGAAATCCACAGCTCTGCTGGCAGAGTCTCACCCAGTTAAAAACCCTCCTGGAACAATTCCCCATAAAATCCCCCGCCCCACAAATTCCCTTTAGTTTGCTGCAAGGAATTTGTCCCCTGCCCTTGATGCACTTTTTGAGAAACAAAAATGTAAAATTCATCCAATAAATCAAATTAAAGTTAACAATAATTACTTAAGATCCATTAGGATCCTGCCCAAGGATCCAAGATTTGCTGCTGGAGATGTTGCTCCTGCAGAAGAATAAAACCCATGGATATTTCTGGCTGCTGAGCTCATAACGGAGCCTGGGGTGCACTTTGGGGATGTGGAGAATGAGCCAAGACCTTTTGTACTATTGTTATTATTATTATTATCATCATCACTATTATTATTATTATCATCATCATTATAATTATCTGCTGGGTATCCCTTATTAACAATAAATGTATTAATAAATAAAGATCCAATTAAATATACAAAAAAACCAAACAAATATTTTAAAATGCGTTAATAAATGTCTTACTAATGTTTTTTAAAATAAATAAATGTCCAAATAAATAAATGTTTTAATAAGCAAGGTCTTTGTGGGCTGCTGAGGTGGGTGCAAGCTGAGCTGGGCTCCAGAATCAGAAATCCTGGAGTTCTTCCCTATCCTTCAGCTCCTTCCCCAGTGCCTATAAAATCCTCCCGGTTCCAACAAGGCCCAGGAGGGTTTTTTGGGAATTATTTAAAGGATCTGTCCCCCAGAGGGGACCGAGGTCCAGAGGAGCAGCAGGGCAGAGCTCAGGCTGCAGGCAGCCGATTTCAGGTACTCACATTCATCTTCCCCGCCGGCTCCTTTCAGGGCATTTTGGGGGAAATCCCGGGATTTGGGATGTCGGGATGCGCTCCCCCCTGCCCCTTCCCGCTGCCCATTCCTCTGGGATTCGCCCGTGGAGTTGAAAATTCCACTTGGAATTCCTCTGGCATCCACGATTCCAGCTAATCTCCGCTTCCAAAAGAATCTCCCAAAATCCAGAGGGTTCCTGGCGTGGCCTTGGCCCTCGGGATGGAGCGAGATCTCTTCCCGAGGAAAGCGGGATGCTGCTCTCTCCAAAAAATCCTCCCCTTCACAAGCCTCGACCTTGCCAGGGAAATCCTGTCTGCCTTGAATTATTCATCCTCTTCCCGTGCTGCTCCAGCAGACAATTCCAAGCATTAATATGCCATGACTTTTTATCCTTTTGGGGTTATTTTCCCACCCGCTTCCACACTCGTGCCATGCTGGAGGCGTTCAGCAGCATTTTTGGGATTTCCCGGATCAAGTCAGCGTATCCAGCAAGGAAAAACCCAGAGCAAGGAAAATTCCCTGGGAATTCCAGGGAAAACCGTGGGATTATCCTTTTTAAGGAATGCTGGTGGCAGATCCTGGTGGTGGCCAGGCAGGGCTCTGCTCCCCTGTGCTTCCCACTGGGATTTGTCTCTGGAATTTCGCTCTTTGTGGCAATCCCAGACCTGCTCCAAGGTCTGGAATTGGATTAAAGTGTCCAGAGGATCCCTTTTCCTTCTTCATGGAGACCAGTCGGAATCTGGGGTGCCTGAAGCTGTTCCACCGTGGCCAAACCCCAAAATCTGCTCTTTGCCATGGAAAACCCCTTTCCATTGAAAATAGGATGAGCAATTAGCTCACTGACCCTTCCCTCTGCTCAAATCAGGGCTGGGAAAGTTGGAATTCCTGCCCTGTTAGCTGAATAAATGACATTCCAGCAGCAGGGAACTCCAGGCAATGAATTCCCAGCCTCAATTCCTTGTGTTTGTAATCCCTTGGATTATTTTCAGTATTTAAGGTGGGCTTGTTGCTACCCTGGGATGTGTATCCCAAGATATCCCAGCATGGAATTCCCAGGCTCCTGCAGCTCCAGTTTTTCCAAAATAGAAACAGACCGATTCTAACAAAACCCCCTTTTTCACGGATTTTGGAAAGAAGAGAATATAGGAAATATTTTCCCTATGGAAAAAGAGAATGTGAAGCTACACTTTGGGATGGGCTGTCCTTGGCTGGAGCAGGAGCCAGCTCTGGGACTGGGAATTCCACCTGGGGAAAAAAAAAATCCCTAAATCCAGCATTGCTGGGGGCTGCATCCTGATCCACCTGGAGGGTGCCGCGTTCCACTGCAGGGAACTTTAAGGAGATCTTTTAAAAAAATGACTGAAATTAACCCAAACGAGGCAAACATCATGTCTGAGAAGCGTTTATTGGTAACAAAATAAAACCAAAATAAAAATGAGTTACTTCACTAAAGAGCGATAGAAAAGACAGATCAAGAAGGAGAAAGATAGAAGGGAGAGAGAAAGAGGAGACAGAGGGAAAGGGCGTTAAAAATAAATAAAAAGGAGTTACTCTACTAAAGAGGGATAGAAAAGATAGAGCAAGGGGGAAGAAGATGGGAGGGAGAAATAGAGAGGAGGCAGAGGGAAAGGAGGGTGTTAAAAACCAAAATAAAAAGGAGTTACCCTACTAAAGAGGGAGAGAAAAGATAGAGCAAGGGGGAAGAAGATGGGAGGGAGAGAGGGAGGGGAGGCAGAGGGAAAAGAGTGCATTAAAAATAAATAAAAAGGAGTTACCCTACTAAAGAGGGAGAGAAAAGATAGAGCAAGGGGGAAGAAGATGGGAGGGAGAGAGGGAGAGGAGGAGAAGGCGATACCAGAGGTGGTCAGGGAACACCGGCCATGTCCCCGGGCTGGGGCTGTGCTCGTTTGGTGAGGGGACATTGCAGGGGATGGACACTTGGGGAGGGGACGCTCAAGGGAATGGACATTTAGTGAGGGAATGGACACTCAGTGAGGGGACACTCGAGGCCATGGACACTCGGTAAGGAGATGGACACTCGGTGAGGGACACTCGAGGGGATGGACACTTGGTGAGGGGACACTTGAGGCCATGGACACTCGGTGATGGACACTCAGTGATGGACACTCGGTGAGGGGACACTTGAGGCCATGGACACTCGGTGAGGGACACTCGAGGGGATGGACACTCGGTGATGGACACTCGGTGAGGGGATGCTCAAGGCCATGGACACTCGGTGAGGGACACTCGGTGATGGACACTCGGTGATGGACACTCGGTGAGGGGACACTTGAGGCCATGGACACTCGGTGAGGGACACTCGAGGGGACACAGCAGGGGTGTGGGCAGTGCCCTGGCTCGGAGGCGGGCAGGGTTGGACATGAGGGGCTCGGGCAGTGAGCAGGGACAAAGCAGGAGGGACACGGGGAGGGAGGACGGCCATGAGGGACAGCCGGGACAGCCGTGAGGGAGAGCCGGGACAGCCATGAGGCACAGCCATGAGGGAGAGCCGGGACAGCCATGAGGGAGAGCCGGGACAGACGTGAGGGACAGCCATGAGGGACAGCCGTAAGGGACAGCCGGGACAGCCGTGAGGGAGAGCCGGGACAGACGTGAGGGAGAGCCGGGACAGACGTGAGGGAGAGCCGGGACAGCCGTGAGGGAGAGCCGGGACAGCCGTGAGGGAGAGCCGGGACAGCCGTGAGGGAGAGCCGGGACAGACGTGAGGGAGAGCCGGGACAGACGTGAGGGAGAGCCGGGACAGACGTGAGGGAGAGCCGGGACAGACGTGAGGGAAAGCCGGGACAGACGTGAGGGAGAGCCGGGACAGCCGTGAGGGAGAGCCGGGACAGCCGTGAGGGACAGCCGTGAGGGAGAGCCGGGACAGACCTGAGGGAGAGCCGGGTAGGGACCTTTCCCATCTGGTGACAGTGTCCCTGCAGGGGACAGTGTCCCCGTGTCCCTTGTGGCTGTCCCTGCAGGGGACAGTGTCCCTGGTGTACCCTGTGGCTGTCCCTGCAGGGGACAGTGTCCCTGGTGTCCCTTGTGGCTGTCCCTGCAGGGGACAGTGTCCCCAGTGTCCCCTGCTGCTGCCCGGCCCTGTGGGACATGTGCTTCCCCCCGCTTATCCAGGACCAGTTTGTCACTGACTCCCACAGAATTAATTCATTAATTGTTCATTATGTGCTACAACTGCAGGCACAGACAATTCCATGTGTCCCTTAATCCTCCCTTTCCAATATGGGATTAGGGTTTTCCCTAATGGGTTTCTGCTAATTCCTTATGAGATTGGAGCACAAACACATCCCTGATTGCACCTTCCTCTTGCCATTCCCACCCTGTGAACAAATCCCTTGGAAGGGGACAGGAAAAGGGGAAATGGCTTCACAATGACATTGGGAAGGAACTTCTCCCTGTGAGGCTGGAATGGATTTTCCCAAGGATGCCCCATGCCTGGAAGTGTCCAAGGCCAGGCTGGAGCACTCTGGGATAGTGGGAAGTGTCACAGAAATATAGATCATCCAAGAAAAAATGGGAATGTTTCTAGCAGCAAGAAAATTGCAAGAAGCTCAAAAATGGGGATTCATTTCCAACCACCAACCCTTGAAATCTATCCATGAACTTCTCCTTTCCACAGGCTCTATGAATAGTGGGAAAAGGCAGAGAAAATTCCACCTTTTTCCAAGTCAAACCACAAATAAAGCAATCCCAGACCAATATTCCAACCCTTTCAACCCTTAGTTCCTTTCTGCCTTTTAAATTCCAACTTGTCGTAATTCCCTTTTCCACAGTAAAGCCTGGAAATCTCACCCCTATGGGAGGTACAGAGAGGTAATTCCCTTAAAGGTTATTCCCTTAAATAACCTGTCCTGACTTTTAAAATTCCCTTTCTTAACAGACTAAAAGGAGCTGTGAAGGTTCCAGCAGCAGCTGTTGGGATGTTCTGCATCCTGACAGGAAATGCAGGCTGACACTTGGAGCAGGAGAATCCCAGGAGAGGCGTCCTCAGTGCCCTCCTTTAGGTAAATTTTAATTTTTTCATGCATCAGCACAGCTGGAAAATGGACACAAAGTACTCCTTGCAAGTCTTCCCCGGGAAAAAAAATTAAAATAAAAATATAATTATTTTTGATCATTTTTTCCCATTGCAGTTCCTCAGGGATGTGTTAATCCGCAGGAAATTCCTCCCAGGAAGAGCCACAAGGCAAAAAATTCCTTCAAGGTTAAAGAAAAAAAAGGTGAGGAATGTTAAAGAGAGAATTTTTCATTTTCGAGAATTAAAATATGCCCAGCTCAAACAAAAACAAGGAAAATAAATCCCAGAAAAAAAGGGAATAAATCCCAGGATTTGGCATTCTAGGTCCATCTGCTGTTGGAAATATGGAAAGATCATCAAGATATTTTGGCTGTAAAATACCTCCAGCAGGGGCAGACTGGGGGAAAACCTCCTGAGCAAAGCTGGAGTGAAAAATACCCAGAGAGAATGGAGGAAAGTGCAATAAATGGGGTGAAAATAATTTAAAAAGGGGAAAAAAACCACAAAAAATCAGTGGGGGTGGTGGCACAGAAGGCAAAAATTGGAGGAAAAAGACCCCAAAAAATTAGATTAAAGGGAAGAAATTGAGCAGACAGGAAAAAAGTCCTGGGAAAGGTCCACATAGGAACACAGTGAGAGGAAAATACAGAAAAAAAGGGGAGAAAATGCACCAAAAAGTTGGGAAAATACTGCAAAAAGTGGGGAAAATACAGCAAAAAGGGGGGAAATACACCAAGAATTTTAAAAAATACAACTTTAAGTTAAAAACTGAATTTATTTCCCACCTGGGCAGTGGTGGAGCCTGAGCAGGGCAGGATCAGCCTTGTTCCCTTTCTGTGAATCCCTGCTTGGAAAAAAGAGATTCCAGAGCAAGTGAGGCCGTTAATTATTAATTAGCAGGGGAGAATTCAAATTGGAACAAAACCTTGGTTGATTTAAAATAAACCTAAAGCAGAGCTGAGCTGCAGAGGGGGAGGGAGGGCTCAGGAAAAGCCGCTCCAGAGGGATAAATAATTCACAGGGCTTTTCATTTATTCAGCTTTCTTTACTTTCCTAATGTTCCAGAGAGGGAGGGAAGGATGGGGATGAGTGGCTCAGGCTGGAGAGGAGGGAATGTGGAGAGCCCAGCAATCCCTGTCTGCAATCCCAGCATTTCAGGACACGTTTCAATCCCTATTTTACATGAAAAATGGGATTTTATATCCACTGATATCCATCAGGGGGCTGAAATCAGCCCTCGGTAAATAATTTACTCCTGGAGCCACAGGGATGTTCCTCTGCTGGTGTCTGGAATGAGCACTGGGTATTCCCTACCTCCTGCTCCAGGTTCCTGAGTCTGGAATATTATGGAGTGATGTCTTAGGAAGAGCTCCAGGAGCAGAGGGAATGTGGAGAGCCCAGCAGAGCTTCTCCTTTCCCTCTGCTGCAATCCCAGCCTTTCAGCACACGTTTCAATCCCTATTTGACACCAAAAATGTGATTTATCTCCATTTATATCCATGAGGTGGCTGAAATCAGACCTCATTAATGAATTTACTCCTGGAGCCACAGGGCTGTGCTTTCCTGGTGCCTCTGGAATGAACGCGGGGTATTCCCAACCTCCTGCTCCTAATTTATTCGCCGTCCCGTATTTATTTCTCAGGCTCCGATCAGGAGGAAACAAGTGATTAGCGCTGATGGGAGGCTAATCAAGAGATTATCAACGAGGACAATAAAATCAGCACTGGGAGACAAAAGAAATCCCTCCTGGAAATGCAAATTCCGGCTGGGACAACAATCGGATTTTGGGCTCCGGCAAAGGGATAAATTTGGGTTGGGGAGGGCTCAGGTGAGCTCAGAAAAGCGGAGTCAGCTTTAATTCCAGGAGTTAATTTGTATTTATGCGGTGACATCACTCGGCAGCGGTGACACAGCAAAATTAGGGATTTATTCATGGATTTGGGAGCACTCTTCACTTCCCGGAGTGTGGGGTGGGAATGATGGGGCTGAACCCTGGGGCAAAGGGGAGGTTTGGAATTCACCCCAGCCGGGATTTTCCCAGGGGCGAGAAGAAAACCAGCGCTGGGCATTGCTGAGGGACCACAGGTGCCGTGGAGCCATTCCCAAAGCAGAAATTGCTTGTGGAAAATAAAGCACCCCTCAGGAACCATCTCCAAAGCACATTCCCTGCAGGATCCCACGAAGGACCTCTCATCAGCACCCAAATTCCCTCTGCTCTGTGCCACCGGAGCAGCTCTGGTTCCAGATCCTGCCCCCTAAGGACAAATCCAGCAGAGAAGAAGCAATTCTGGCTTTGAAAATGAGGATTTTTAGCACTAATAATTCATTTGTGTAATTTTCTGCATTTCAGGTCAGGGATTTGAAGGGCTGAGTGAAATTGGTGGAGATAAGAACCAAAAAGACCCCCCCAGCTTTGATCCAAGGCCAACCCTCAGCATTAAAACTGCAAACTGATCCCAAAAGTTCTCAGCTGGGGTGACACAGTTTAAAATCTTAAGTTATTATTAATTTAAAATTTTAAAATTTTAATATTTTAAAATATTTATTTAATTTTTAAAAAATTTAATTGTTTTGAAATTTCTTTTAAATTTTTATATTTTCTTTTTTTTTTTTTTTTTTTAAAGCTCTGTTTTATTTTCCACCACATAAACATTGCTAACCTGTGTTACAAGAACAAATCCATGGACACCTTGAGGGTGCTCCAGTCCCACACCTGGACACAGCTGGGTTGGGATAAATAAAAATCAAGGATTTCAAGGCTCCTCTCATCCCATTGCTCCCAGCCCAGGAATAACAGCACCAGGATAAATCCCCCTCCCAGGCAACAGAGTAAAAAATCCAATTGCAGCACAAACTCTGGCCAGGATCTCCTGGATCCCAAAATATGAGGTGGCAGCAGCAGAGAATTTAATGAAGAATGAAGAACTTTCCAGAGCATAATTGCTGAATGATTTTTTATCACTGGAGAGTGGAAAAATCCCGATTTTCTTTGCTGGTTTCCATTTCTCTAACTCTTGTCAGTCAAAATAGTGAGGGGCACAGAAACTTTTCAAATGAGATCTGGCAGATTGGTGGGAAAATAAATATTATTTGAGTTCCACACTTTTTCCTTGATCCTGTTCCTAGGAAGAGGATTTGCAGCTGGATTTGCAGCTTCCCAGTGCCAATCTTTCCTAGGAATTGTTAATAAAAGTCAGATCTCCTGGGGGCAGAGGGTGGGGTTGTTGTCTAATGTTTCAAATCTAGAATATTGTAATAATCCCTCATTAATTCCATCAGCTCCCTGGCAGACAACTGCTGGATAATTGAAGGGGAAAGGATTTAAAGGAGGATCCTGATTTAACACCCAACTTCCATCCCAGTGAAATCACAACCCCGGGAAGAAAATTCATCTGAAAATTAAAGGTAAATGCCAGTGGAAATGTCTTAACCCTCCATATAAATATTTTCACTCTTCCTTCCCCCCCCCTTTTTTTTGTAGGTTTATAAAATTAGGTTAAAATAGGTTTATCAACCTATATTTGTTTGCATATTTTTTTAAAATGTTGATCCAGGTATTCATATTTTTAGGCTATTTTAAGTATTTCATCTTCAATTGTCTCATTCCTTTAGAAGTGAAGCAGAGCTGAGTATTACAGGCATTCATTAGGATTTCTATTTTAGCTTTTATTATTCATTGTGGACAAAAGCCACTGCAGGGAATTGTCGTGTCGCCACCTCTGGTTTTTAACCGTCTCTTTGGGATTCCTGTTGGTTTGGAAGGAGCAGGGAATGGATGAATTGAGAAGGAATGCAGGAATCTGGATCCATGCAGGGCCTGATGAGGTTGTTACAAGCTCATTTATTGAATAAATCTGTGATAAAAGATAAGAGCATCACAGCAAATAAACATCTGCCCACAAAGGTTAAACTTCAGGCTGCCTCATTTGGAGAAAATCATTGTTTTCCTAAAACAAACAACCCATGAAAGTGGGAAATAGCAGGAATAATTCCTGGAAGAGCCTCCATAGCTCTCCTGAGGCTGATCTGTATTGGCAGCCAGAGGAGCACAGCCCCCTAATGGGACAATTTAAATGCATAACAGCTCCAATAAACTCCTTAAAGGGTGTCCCCACATTCCTTATGCTGACTCCCCAGAAAATCCTGGATAACTCACAGGCCTTTAAAGCAGGAGAAAATATTGTCCTGGCTGTCTCAGGCTGGGCCATCACCAGTTCTGCCCTGAAAGACAGGATGGATTGCGTGGAAGGCAAAACTCAAATTCCCTCTCCCTTCCACAGGGCCCTGTTTTAAACAGACCTAAAAAACCCTATTTTAAAAACCCAAAACTATTTCTGTGATCATGTCAGCTCCCCCCAAATAAAGCAACAGCAACCTGCAGTGATGGGGAAAAATGCAAAGTTTGGGACAGCATCTCTGAGAGGAAAATTTTCATATTTTGGGAGAAAATGCCTTGGGAGCAGCTCCTATTTTTCTGGTTGTTTGCAGGCCACCCAAAATTGAACAATTTGGGTGTCCAGGCTCTCCTGAACACCAGGAAATTTAAATTTCAGTTTGTCCAAAACCAATTCAGTTTTTCCTGATCCAACTGTCCAAATTTCCCTGAGGGTGTAACTAATCTGTTAAGTTAATTAGGTTCTAGTTTTACTTATTTAATTTCTTCACAGTTCTTGTGTTGAGGTAACAATTATTTGAAATTTAGCAGCACCTTCAAGTATTTGATCTCTCCCAGTCTTTCCCCATGGAAATTTTGCTCCTCGCAAATTTGGGCTCTCAGAAAGTCATGGCTGAAATGCCCAATTTTCTCCTGGAAAATTAAAAAGTAGGCCCTGGCTCTGCTCAGGAGCAAGACTTGGAGTAAATTAACTTTCACTTCATGTTTTGATGGATGCTTAATGAGCCCAGCATTGTTCAGCTGGAAATCATGGAGCTATTTTTCATCCCAAACCTCTCCTGAGCAGAGCCTTTGACAGGTTATTAAGATTTTAGTGTCACTGTGGAAACATTTTTCCAGGCATCTCGGCTGTGATCAAGAGAGGTTCTCTGCTCCTTCTCCATCTGCTGATCTTCCAAACCAGCTACATTTAAAAACCCAGCTTTTTTTTTTTTTTTTTTTTTTTTTTTAATATTTAATATGCAACAATTTCCAATCCTGGATTCTTCGTCCTAATGACCAAGCAAAGCTTTCCCAC